AGCTGTAACTTGTGAAGATTTCTTTGCCGCTATGCGAGATGCTAATGATGCGGATTTTGCTAATTTCTTATTATGGTATTTGAATAATTTGCTTTAATATAAACTTTTGCCGTTTTCGGTTTTGGTTAAATTTATTATTATGCATTTAATCATGGCTCGTTTTCAGGTATTCGCAAGCTGGAACTCCTGTCGTGAATGTTACTTCTTCTTACGATGCTGAAGCTCATACCTTTTCTTTGAAGTTTAGGTATTCTTCTAATTTTCCATCTATCCAAAATAAGTGTCTACTTTTTTATTTTAGTTTGTTCTGACATAAGTGTTCACTTTCAGAAGTAAGTGTCTACTTTCCAATTCTACCCTTAATAATGTGATGGATAAATTTATTACTCCCTATGTTATTAAGGGTAAAACTGTGATTTAGTTCATTGAGAAGTAGGGGTGAGCAGCGGAACCGGGTACCCGGTTACGGAACCGGAACCGCCTTGGAACCGCCGGTTCCGGAACCGAAACCGATATGAGTGGTTCCGGTTCCGGTTCCTAAAATACGGAACCGATTGAGAACGGTTCCGGTTCCGGTTCCTGTCAAAAAGGGCGGGTACCCGCCTATGCTCACCCCTATTGAGAAGTGTAATAATTACATATTTGTAGAACTGTACGTCTTTTTCATTGAGCGATTAACAAGTGTCAACTTTCAGAAGTAAGTGTCAACTTTCCAATTCTACCCTTAATTATGAGATGAAGAAATTATTACCCACTCCACTACAAAGGGTAAAATTGTCATTTAGTTAATTAAAAAGTGTTATGATTACATGTTTCTAAAACTATATGTTTTTTCATTGTGCCATTAACAAGTGTCACTTTTCAAAATAAGTGCCTACTTTCCAGTTCCACCCTTAAATATGAGATGGAGAAATTTATTACTCACTCTATTATAAAGGGTAACATTGTCATTTGGATTTAGTTGATTATAAAGCGTAATAATCACACATTTGTAAAACTGTATATCTTTTTCATTCTACCATTAACAAGTGTCCACTTTCCCATTCTACCGTTAATTATGAGACGGAGAAATCCATTACTCACTCCATTATAAAGGGTAAAAATTGGCATTTAGTTCATTAAAAAGTGTAATAATTACACATTTCTATAACTGTATGTCTTTTTCACTATGGACATTTATTTTGGGAATGAGGGAGTAACAGTTTTCTTCTAAAGATTTCAACACGAGGGTTATTCGGATTTCATAAACGACCTTTTTGATTTCTTGGCACTTCYTTTTTCAGCCAAACKGTGCCTTCTACACCAGGGCAGCCCACGAAAGAGCCGATGTTCATTCCTGTGTCGGTGGGACTTCTCGACTCATGCGGCAAGGATTTGCCGCTATCATGTATCTATCATGACGGGAAGTTAGAGTCCATCACATGCAATGATCAGCCCGTCTACACTACAGTTCTAAGAGTTACAAAGGTAAGTTTTGTATTTGGGCTATGTTTGCTAGTAAGCTAGCTGATAAACTAGTCATGCTTGGTAAATATTAGTCATCATGTTAAATTACAATGTAGAATGACATAAAAGGACATTGAAAAAACTATAATGAGGGACAAATTGAAAAACTGGAAAAAAGACGTGGGCTTATTGAAATGCTACTTGAAGCTTCTTCTCAAAAAGCTAGCTTCTATGGCTAAAAGGGCTCGGGAAAAGTATTATAGTTGACCTAAAAGGTCAAAGTTACAATCTTTGTGATGGTAGGAATATATATAGGGTCAGGTTCAGGGGAAAGCCGCAAAAAAGTGAAAAACCGAGGAACACCTTATTAACTATTCATCCGTACAATATGCACATGTGCATACTAGTAATTTTGTTCGGTATGTACAGGTGCGTAAAATGCACACGTGCATAGAAACCAGAAAACGTCTTCAATTACTTGTATGCACATGTGCATACCGTACAAACAAGCGGTTATTACGATGTTTCTCAGTTTTTCTATTATTTCAGGGGTTTTCTTGAACGTCACTCACTCTCTTTCTCTCTCTCTCTCTCTCTCTCTATATATATATATACATATATATATATATATATATACTAGTTGTGTACCCGCGTAATATGGCGGGATGTCAAATTTTCAAATAAGCCTACAACTAAAAATGAGTGCAGTCAAAGACCTTCCGGCCTAGTGGTAAAGGCTTGGGCATGACATAGTCATGAACCCGAATTCGAGTCCTGGGAGGGGAGTGTTGGCGACATTTAAGTGGGGCCATGTTTAGCCTCCAAATTTGCCGGGGATTAGTCGAGCTTTGGCCCGGACACCCTTACAAAAAAAAATGAGTGCAACTATTCATTAAAAAGTACAAAATTTATATTTAAACATTCGATCTTACAGGGAACCCTTAGAAATATTTAAACCTCGATTCCTTATAGTTGAGTACCCGTGCGATGTAATACGATGTAATCAAGTACAATGTAACAAATAAGGAATCAAGGTGAATTTTATTGTACACCTACATGAAAATCAATTATGTTGTCCAAATAATTATAATGAAGGAAGAAACAGATATCTAGTGAATACATTTAAAAAATAAATAAATTATCTTATACAAACCGAAATAGAAACCATTATCCACCTTTTTGCAAAGGAGAGCTAGATTTAGCTAAAATAAAAGTTTGAATGAATAAAGAATGGTGTGAAGATACCAAAAAAAGAAAGAAAGAAAGCTCTTAATAAGGAAGGAAAAAAAACTGGAAAGAAATAAAGCAAAGCTGTAAACTTGGATGTTGTTGGTGGTGTGCATCAACAATTGTACCTTATGCATGTGAAGTTGTAATTAAKAGATTTTTGAAATTTATGCATAAAAGGGTAGTACTTTGGACTTTATAGGTTGCATTTAAGACTTTCGGTCTAAATGCTTATTAATATAGTATAGATAGATAGAGGTGAGTTATTATGCAACCCTTTACATTCCTACAACCCTTGCAATCAAATCAAGAGTGTCCATTTGATCATCAAGGGTTACTATTTGATTGGTTGTAACTACCCTTAATTAAAAAAGAAACCAAAAAAAAGGATAGTGGATAGGTGGTTGCGTTGGTTGTGTAATCTAGAGGGGTCGTATTACAGTTTATGTATTATTACTAAATCTTGATAAGGCTTGAACTCGTGTGTCTTGCAATCAGGGTGAAGAAGAATTTGTATTCTCTGATGTGCCGGAGAAGCCTGTTCCGTCTCTGTTGCGGGGTTATAGCGCTCCTATTCGCCTAAACTCTGATCTCACAGAGAAGGATCTCTTTTTTCTTCTTGCTCATGATTCAGATGGATTTAATCGGTAACTTTTCTGAATACAAAAATTGTTGATCCCATTGACCATACACATGCACAAACCTATTATTTACAACCGTTGGACTAAAGCTGATGGTACTGTTATTGCAGTTGGGAAGCTGGACAAATATTGGCAAGGAAATTGATGCTGAGCCAAGTTGCTAATTTCCAAAAGGATAAACCGTTGCTTCTCGATCCACAGTTCGTGCATGGTATCAAATGCATTCTTTTAGATTCAAGTTTGGACAAGGTTTCGTACTCGGATACCCCTTCTCGTTTTTCTTGAACATTCCTTTTTCTGTTGTTGGTAATTTTGGGTGTCCGGGCCTGCTTACTCGTACCCCGATTAATCCCACGAGGCACTAAAGATAGCAGCCAGGAAAATCATTGTGGCCACTCGATCTGGCGACCTATTGAATGGAATTTAATTTGATTTGTGTAATCTAATGTAGGAATTTATCGCGAAAGCAATAACTCTCCCCGGTGAAGGTGAGATCATGGATATGATGGAAGTAGCGGACCCGGATGCCGTCCATGCCGTTCGATCTTTTATCAGAAAGCAGCTTGCTTCTGAATTGAAACAAGAGTTCCTAAACCTGGTACAAGTTACAAATATACCCCCACCCCACTCGTATCTTTGTGATGAATGTGGCTTGAGTTAATATTGGCATACTCCACAGGTGAAAGAAAACCGGAGCTCGGAAAAGTATGAGTTTAACCATGCTAATATGGCAAGACGGGCTCTGAAGAACATGGCCCTTGGTACTTATTTTTTCACTTTTATTATATTAGGATCGGAATTTGTTTATATTGTGAGCATTAATCTTGATCTTTTTTGAAAAAAAGGTTATCTTGTATCTCTTGATGATCAAGAAGTGATTGAGCTCGTGTTGCATGAATACTTAACCGCCACAAATATGACGGATCAGTTCTCGGCTTTGGCAGCTATTGCCCAGAAACCTGGTCAAACCCGTGACGATGCTTTGGCCGACTTCTATAAGAAATGGCAGCACGACTTTCTCGTACGCTTTCAATTTTTTTTTTCCGTTCTAATTTCAATTCCCGTATCCGAATCCTAGATTAGCCTACGCATGTGTAGTTACTGTTTCTTGGTTATGTTTCTTGACGGAAACAACCGCTTTGCTAATTAGGGTAGAGGTCAGGTCTGCGGTCATCTGATCCCCTGGGCTCGTTTTGGTCATCTTTATCGGATTTCAGTTTGGAGTGATTATTATGTTATTTATATTCTTTTCTTGATTTTCAGGTGGTTAACAAGTGGTTTGCGCTTCAATCCACGTCGGATATTCCTGGGAATGTCGAAAATGTTCGGAAACTTCTAGACCATCCGGCATTTGACCTAAGAAATTCCAACAAGGTTAGAATCTTTGACTCATTCACTCGTGTGCTCAGCTCGGGGTCTTCATGGAAACATACACTCTACTCTGTAGGGGGTAGAGGTCACGTCTACATGCATCTTCCTTCCCCCCCCCCTCCCCGGGGCAGGCGGAGCCCACCTCTGGGGAGGATATACGAGGTTGTTGGTTTGCTTTACTTGTGGACTTACGTTTTTGTTCATTTATATTATTTTTATTCTCGATCCCTGATGTTGGGCAGGTGTATTCGCTGATCGGAGGATTTCGTGCCTCGGCGGTTAATTTCCATGCGAATGATGGGTCGGGATACAAGTTTTTGGGAGAACTCGTGGTGCAACTCGACAAACTGAACCCTCAGGTGCAGATGATTATGAGTATAGTATATTCACATGTGAATATAACTTACCAAAATTGAAACTTTAAGCCACCCTCAAAATCTTTCACAATACACGTCTTCTGGGGTCACACTGAAATTACTATTTTGCCCATCTAAGATCTACTCCCCCTTTTGATTTCTTTCTGCTTGGGCCAAGGCAAAAATCAAAACTTTAGGCCACCCTCAAAATCTTTAACCATACAAGTCTTCTGGGGTCACACTGAAATTACCGTTTTGCCCATCTTAGATCTACCCTCCCACTTTTGATGTCTTTCTGCTTGGGCCAGACCAAAATCAAAACTTTAGGCCACCCTCAAAATCTTTAACTGTGCAAATTGTTCTTGGTTCACACTGAAATTACCATTTTGCACATCTAAGATCTACTCCCCCTTTTGATTTCTTTCTGCCTGGGCCAGACCAAAATCAAAACTTTAGGCGACCCTCGATATCTTTTTAACTACACAAATCTTTTGGGGTCACACTGAAATTACCATTTTGCCCATCTAAATCTTGAACTATGCAAGTCTTCTGGGGTCACATTGAAATTACTATTTAACCCATCTAAGATCTATTCCCCTTTTGATTTCTTTCTGCTTGGGTCAGACCAAAATCAAAACTTTAGGCCACCCTCAAAAGCTTGAACGATACAAGTGTTCTGGGGTCACACTGAAATTACCGTTTTGCCCATCTAAGATCTATTGCCCCTTTTGATTTCTTTCTGCTTAGGCCAAGACCAAAATCAGAACTTTAGGCCATCCTCAAAAATCTTTACTGCATCGTAGAATACAAATCTTCTGGGGTACCACTTTTGCCCTTGAGCCCTTCTTCTAAGATGTACTCGTGTTGATTGCAGATTGCATCTGGGATGGTTTCAGCCTTTTCTAGGTGGAAGCGTTATGATGAAACCCGACAGAATCTTGCCAAGGTGAAAACGAGTGTTGATCTTGATGTTTCTTGATTATGATGGTATTCGGGTTTGTTGAAATGGTTTGTGTACGTAATTTACTGGAAAAACAGGCACAGCTGGAGATGATCATGTCGGCTAACGGGCTGTCGGAGAACGTGTTTGAGATCGCGTCAAAGAGTTTGGCGGTTTAGAACTGTGGTTTGAAGAATCAAAGTGGCAAAAATCATATACAAGTGAATTAGAGTAAAGGTAGGTGTTTTAGTTGTCATGAATCAAACTGGTAAAATGGCAACACCATGAATAATGTTTTCACTTGGTTAATATTACTTATTATTAATTAAAGAGTTTTTGCTACTTTTTTCGATTATATTTATACCCTTGGTTAATATTACTTATTATTAGTTAATAGTATTTTTAGTTTATTAATTAATTTTAATTTCAATTCAGTAATTAATTTTAATTTTTTATCA